GTCGGGCAGATTGCCCTGCGTCGTGTGCACGTGCGACAGCGCCGCGTAGAAGAAGAACTTCTTCTTCGCGCTCCCGATGAAATCCGTCGCGAAGGATCCGCGTACTTCTCCTGGAGGTGCGTCAGGTCCACGGGCTGCTCGACGACCGTCGTGGCGCCCTTGGACTGCGAGACCAGCGGCAGGAACCGCCCGCCCCGGTCCGACGCCTCGTCCTCGAAGCGAAGCGCCTGCGTGTAGCCGTGGGCCGCGTAGGCCGCGCGCGACCAGTCGCCCGTGACCGTCGCCGGGATCGTCGTCCCGTTGCCGCAGTCGGAGAGGCGCGCGGCGCCCATGTCGTCGCTGAACGGGATGCCGAGGTAGCTGTCGAAGCCCCGCGACGCCGGCAGGTAGGCCTCGCGCTGGCCGAGGTGCCACTTGCCGAGCATGCCCGTCTCGTAGCCCGCCGTGCGGAACTGGTCCGCAAGCGTGACCTCGCGGAGCGGCAGGCCCGATTGCGACGTCGGCCCGAAGACGCCGGGCACGCCGACGCGGCTGTAGACGCGGCCCGTCATGAGCGACGCGCGGCTCCCCGTGCAGACGGGGCAGCCGCTGTACCACGTGCTCAGGCGCCGGCCCGACGCGCGCAGGGCGTCGAGGTTCGGCGTCAGGTTGCTCGGGTGGCCGGCGAAGCCGGGGTCGCCGAAGCCGAGGTCGTCGGCGAAGAGGAGCACGACGTTCGGAGCGTCTTTCTTCGGCGCTGTCGTTGCGCGCGTCTTCGTCGACGACGCGACGCCGCCGACGAGGGCCAGAGCGAGCAGGGGGTGCACGAACATCACGCCGAGGTCTTCTTGGTGCTCGAGGTCTTGTTGCTCTGCTCGTTCTCAACTTTCTGCCACAAGCCAATCAGCGACGACCTTTGCACGGCGCGCCAGCGCCTCCGCCGCGTCGTCGTCGACGCGCTGCGCGCGGAGCGCCTCGGCGTCGTCGCGCCGCGCCGACGCGTCTCGCGAGGAAGCGTGATGTCCGCTGGCATGGCGCTCGCACTCATCAAGCTGTGCAGCATCGCTGCCTTGACAACAGGCTTCGCGCTGCCGCGACCGCTGCCGCGCATCGCTACCTCGACAACAGGCTTCGCGCTGCCGCGCCGCGCCTCGCAGCCGCTGCATCATGCCTCAGCGCGGCCGCTGCCTCGCGCGGCGCTGCGCGCGCAGATCGACGAGGATCCGCAGGCGTTCGCGCGCCTGTCCGGCGACGCCGCGGTCATCCTCTGCGCCTTGACGTCGCAGAAGCTCGTCGACGAGGTGCTCGGCGGCGCGGACTTCTTCGCGCCCGTCGTCGCGTCGGACCTCGACGCGCTGCCGGGCC